TTTTGTTTTTCCTCCTCCAAAAGAAAAATTGTAGGACATTCAAGCAATTTCCCCAGTAAAATCAAATATTCTGGATGTTATTCCTGATATATCGATGAGTGGAGAGGTTCACTAAATAAAAGAAAAACCAATGACAACGTGCACACTAAAGGGGGTAAAGTATGGTACTTACAATATTGGAAATTAATCCCTAAAAGGAGCGATTTCCTCCAAACTTTCAGTGGCTAAACCAAATTCACTAGCCCAACAAGCGGAAAATCACTATGAAACTGCGAAAGAGTGTATCCCGTAATGGATGATAGCAGATCAAATTTCTCTCATCACAGTCAATTCCAATAATCGAATGACAATTTGCACCCTTTTTTTGAAAATGTTCAAAAAAACCACCCACATAACCACTCCAAAACATCCTGCTAGATGTCGCTACAACTTTTGTGACGAAAAATACCATTTTGCTCCAGAGAATATAATTTCGACCTGAGGCATATTTTTAAGGGAAAAACATTATGATGGACATTTACTACATAATTATTTATTGACCAAGACTGGAAATATATTGCTAATACTATGATGGAACGTAAGTCGAAGAATCGACCAGGATATCGAGATTTAGCTCGCAAACGATAGATGGCACTTATCTTGCCGATTCTAAACTATTTTTATATTGTCTGGAAAAATTTCATTCATTCCTCAAACATAACTAGAATGATACTTGTTATTAAAATGATAAATTCATCTTACTAATAACACGACCACTCCGAAAATCATATTGTAATGTTTGTTATTCTTGTCTTTTCAGGGCTTTTAGTAAGGTCTTAGTAAGACTTTTTATGAAGTATTTTATTTATACGAGTATATTTTATTCTATCCTCGTCGCGGCCTGGAACGCGTTTGCCTCATCTGGTACAGTGATGCAGTAGGGGATGTCATAGGTTATACAACAAGAAAACCTTTTTTTTGTTGGAGTATCTGGCCTTACTTCCTCGTGGACTCTGCAGTCAGGCCTTACCTTATAGCGCGCCGTCTATGGTTTTGTGTATCGTGCGTGCATCCAAAAATTAAATATGGATACTTGTAGGAGTCTATAGAAAATAATTGTTATTATTTAATTGCAGATGGATTATTATTGATATTATGAAATACAAATTAAAAACTTTATTGTGATAATGTAACTTGAAAAATAAAACAGTGTTATTAATAATTGTGAAATGAAAAGGAAGTGTTTTCCAAAATGTTTAGATTTTTAAGTGGCAGAAAGCCAAGAAATACTGCAAAAGACATAAAATCAAATAAAAATATAAATAAAAACTTAATACAATGCAGGGTTGTGTTATTGGATGGCACAGATTTACCAGTGAAATTATCGAAAAAAAGCGAAAGCCAGGGATTTATATGAACAAGTATTTTACTCATTAGATTTAATTGAAAAAGATTATTTTGGCCTACAGTGTACTGATGCAAATCACGTCAAGCATTGGCTGGATCCAATAAAGTCAATAAAAAAGCAGATAAAGATTGGCCCTCCATATACTCTAAGGCTCAAAGTAAAATTTTATTCTTCTGAACCGAACAATTTACGAGAAGAGTTAACAAGATATCAGTTCTTTTTTACAACTCAAACAAGATATCTTGGAAGGGAGGCTGGAGTGTCCAAATGAAACAGCTGTGAAGTTAGCTGCATTTGCATTACAATCTGAACTAGGAGATTACGATGAATCTCAACATACTCCTGCGACGGTATCTGAATTTAGATTTGTTCCAAATCAAACTGAGGAAATGGAAATAGACATATTAGAGGAATTTTAAAAATGTAAAGGCTTGTCCCCTGCTCATGCAGAACAGAGCTATTTAAACGATGTGAAATGGTTAGAAATGTATGGTGTAGATATGCATACAGTCTTGGGAAAAGATAGTATAGAATATAGGTTAGGACTTACGCCCACAGGAATTTTAGTTTTTGAAGAACCTAATCAAAAAATAGGATTATTTTTTTGGCCAAAAATGGGCAAGCTCAAGTTGAAAAAGAAAAAGTTAACGTTGGTCGTAGTTGAGGATAACGATCAAGGCAGGGAACAGGAGCACACATTTGTTTTTAGGCTGCATAATGAAAAAGCTTGTAAACACTTATGGAAATGTGCAGTTGAACATCACGGTTTCTTTCGTTTAAGAGCCCCGGTGAAAGGCCCTTCTGCCAAACAGAACTTCTTCAGAATGGGTTCTAGATTTAGATATTCGGGTCGAACAGAATATCAAAGTACTTATCAAAATAGGACTAGAAGAACTGTTCAGTTGGAGCGAAAACCCAGTCAAAGGTATGGACGACGACAAAGTCATGTTTTACGAGAAAGAGAAAGAGAAAATCAACGTGCATCGTTCAATAGTAGTGAAAAATCAACAGCCACTAGTGAGCCAATTTATTGTACAGTAAAAGATGATATAACACCAGTACCATCAACACCAACAGGCCCCGAATCTATTGGTATAGTAAGCCAAAGTAGCTTTGGAAAAGCTTCTGTTGGTCAAAACAGTTTTGGTAAAGCATCAGTTAATTCATTTGGAAAAACGTCCATGGGAAATTCATTTGGAAAAGCTTCTGTTGGATGTGGTTCTTCTTATAGCTCGGTTTTATCTGTCGGTAGTAAAAACGGTACACTACCAAGAAATAAACCGTCTACTCCCACTAGTTCATTGCCTCCCACAAGTCCTACACCTTCAACTACTGACAGCCAATTAGACTTTTTATTTAAAAGTTTGGCCAAGGAGTCCCTTAATGGATTTAGTAGAGACTATAAAGGAAATGAAAATAATAAGTCCGAGGATACAGAATCTGAATGTGGTTTAAAACCTTTACCAGCAGAAATACCCAATAATATAACTAAAATATCTGGTGTAGCGAAACCATTACCACATGGACAAATAAAATGTAATATTCTGAAAGCAAAAGTTGAGGAGGAGTTGCAAAATCAAAAACTTACAAATCAAATGTTTGTACAAGCAAAAGAGGAAGAGACTTCATTAAATGCTGCTACATTTATTTCTGTGGGTGGAGATAAATTAACTTTGTCTGTCAGTGATCCCCCAAGTTTGCCTCCAATTATAACAAATTCTGTACTAAAATCACCAAAAATACTTGACAATAAAGACCTTAATGAAATTAATAAAGACAAAAATGAGGAAAAAGATTTAATGAAAAGGTGCGCCACGCCAGTCACCGTAACATTTTTTGGACAAAATGACGGAAAATTGGAAATATGTCAAGTTAATAACTCTGAAGATGAAAAAATTAATTTAAATCCATTTGCTAATTATTTAAATGACAGCAAGTCAAATCCTATTCATTCTATAAATTCATTCCATCCTAATATTCCATTTTGCAATAATGACAACGATATGAAAGAAGATGTAACAGAAGTTGATTCTAATGAAAATAAGGCAACAAATAACAACGAAGAAGTAGTTGAAAAGCTGTCCACCCCCGTTAGCCCAAATTTAAGTAAACTTTCACCCTGGTTAGTGTCATCTGAGGTAGTTTCGTCACCAGTTTCTAAGGTTAATACTACAGATACTACAATCATTAGAAAATCTGTGATTACCACGCAGCTATGAGCATTGATAAATAATAATTTATAAATAATTGGTTAAAAATGGCGCCCTAACGTTTAAAATTAGTGTTATAGGGTTTCTTTACTTTCTTGCAGGTGGTTCATAAAAAAAACAACCCTCGAACAAGAGATATATTCGAAACGCCTTCTACAGGGTGTAGAAGTGAGGATTGGCATTATGGTTGTCCTTTATGTGATGTAATGTTTGTTATTCTTGTCTTTTCAGGGCTTTTAGTAAGGTCTTAGTAAGACTTTTTATGAAGTATTTTATTTATACGAGTATATTTTATTCTATCCTCGTCGCGGCCTGGAACGCGTTTGCGTCATCTGGTACAGTGATGCAGTAGGGGATGTCATAGGTTATACAACAAGAAAACCTTTTTTTGTTGGAGTATCTGGCCTTACTTCCTCGTGGACTCTGCAGTCAGGCCTTACCTTATAGCGTGCCGTCCATGGTTTTCCTAGCATCCCTTCTGTACGTGGTGCTCTGGATCTGTCAACACCTGAAGAAAACGCCCTTCGCGCTGTAGGACCCCAGATAAGTGCTAACAACCTGTATAAATTTGATTTTATCCGATTATCTGGAAAATCTACTATCATATTCTAAATAATATTTTATGTAGCTACCATCTTTTTTGTGTGTCGTAAGAATACATACTATCTGAAAATCTATTATCATATTTTAAATAATATTTTATGTAGCTACCATTTTTTTTGTGTGTCATAAGAATACATACTATCTGAAAATCTATTATCATATTTTAAATAATATTTTATGTAGCTACCACTTTATTTTTGGGTGTCGTAGGAATATATACGAATGTTTTATCTAGTATTGTCCCTGTACAAAAGAAGAACAGTGTATATTATATAATAACTAGGTAGCGACGAAGGTGATCACATTCGGCCTACAGAACTTTATTTTTACATTATTATGTACCCTAAACTGTTCTGATAAACTGCTAGTATTTCTCTAGAGAAAACTTACACTTGTAATTTGTTTAAATATTATAATACGTCATAACGTTAACCATTTTGCTGTGTCTATATTTTAACGTGTTATACTTCTTTCTTTTGTAATTATTATTAAATAGCTACTGATATATTATATTTAACTTTTTTTTCTCTTTACCAGTTAATATCTTCCCAGTGCACTCAGTTAGAAATTACCACCCTTCTTGCCCACTCCCCGCCGACTAGTTGGCCGGAGTGCGTGGCTATCATCGCCGCTCACTATAAACAATTTTTTTTTTGTTGCTGGCAGCCCGTTGCGTAATAGAAAATTTAGTATATTCATTGTATCTTGAAGAAATTTCAGCTCCACTTATTGTTAATGCTATTTACAATTATATTATATTTTTATTATTTTGTGAGGGCTAGCTCTGGTAATAAAAATGGCGCCCAACGTGGGGCTCGAACCCACGACTCTGAGATTAAGAGTCTCATGCTCTCTTGTTAAGATAGTCTCTAACCTCAGTTTTATTTAAGAATATTTAACTTATTTCAAATTCAACGCTTCACGACACAAAATTCAAATTTTCGTTAAAATTTAGCTAGTTCTAAGTTCTCCAGGTGATTACTAGGCTGCCAGTTAAATTTCAGTTTATTGAAATTTTTTGAGTTTTAAGAATCGTCTATCAAAATTTTTGAAAAATAAATATTAACCAAATTTTATTAGTCCACTAGGACATCGAAAAATTATTTTTAAATTTTTCATAAAATTTTAACTTAGTCGTTTGAAAATAATTTTTCAATTAATTAAATTAATTATATTATTATACCATCGCCTTCAACTGAAAACGACACGCTGCTTATAGGGACCGTGAGCTGGGTTTAGACCGTCGTGAGAGGTTAGTTTTACCCTACTGATGTCTCGTCGTTGCGATAGTAATCCTGCTCAGTACGAGAGGAACCGCAGGTTCGGACATTTGGTTCACGCACTCGCTCGAGCGGGCGGTGGTGCGAAGCTACCATCCGTGGGATTATGCCTGAACGCCTCTAAGGCCGTATCCTTTCTAGTCAGAGGTATAATAATAATAATAACAAGGACACGGACCCAATACTGAAAGGTGGGAGGGCTGGCTTCGGCTGTAAGTTGCGTGTCCCTACCCACTGGCTCCGGCCACAGCAATTTAACAGTTTTTATTGAGCTCAAGTGATCAAGTGATTTCTTTGGGTGTGTGTTAATTGCTCTGTTCAGGGCACTGCACTGCACTACTCTTAGTAGTTGCAGCTTTTAATTAGGGTCTTCCTTTTTCTTCTATTTTCCTATAAGCGTTCTTAATTCACGTACGAGGCTACGGCGTCTGGCCAACCCCAACCTCTCCGAGGTGGAGCTAGAAACGATCGTCAGGCGGTAACTCGGTATCCTCTGGATAGTCCTCATCTAAGCTCCGGCATAAGTAAGCGCCCGGCTCGTCCGAGTCCCTGACTCGGCCAAGGGGATTAGGGTCGTCGACCCTTCCTTTTCCGTCTAAGAACTCTTCCTATACTCTTCCGTATCTCTGTCAGGCGATTACCTCCTTATATCCATCCTTATATTTATATATATATATATATTTTTAGCGGGTCTATTAGATCCGCTTTTTTTATCACGAAATTATGGCGAATTCTAATGTTTTCTCCTTTAAATCCTCTTCTAAAATTAGCCCTAGAGGCACTAATCCGAAACGTCCGGCACCCGTCTACGACGAGCCCGACGATGCCTTCACGCAGACAGGCAAACGCGCTTGTCATCCTTCATTAGCCGAACTAGAAACCGCTTAGAGTACTCACGTCGTGGGAGACACAGAATTGGCCCAAGACGATTTTAGTGATTATTTTCTATCTAATATATCTAATTTTGTTAAGCATTCCGAACAATTGCTGACTAAACTGGATGAACGCCTCGATTCCATCGAGCGCCAAATCCAAAATATTTCCTCAAAATCTATTATGTCTTATAGCGCTGCCGTAACCTCTCCTGCGGTCCGTCCGCCTACCAGGCGCTCGACCTGGGTCAGGCTTTCATCCGGCAAAACCGTCGCTCCTGTAAATAAATCAGTAATAATTCTTAAGCCTACTGAAGGTAATCAATCTATTAAGACCTCTGATGATATAAAGAAAGCACTCGTATCCAACTTGAACCCAAGGAACTTGGGGATCAAGCTCGATAGAATGTCGAGGGCCGGCTCTGCGGCTTGAGTCACTGACTAGCGATCTCACTAATGGCCGTATTAATAAACGCGACTTGAGTCGATCTTATGTCAAGTAGGACTTAAGTTGGCACGTTTCATTTAATAGACAATGCTCAAGACTAAACTAGGACTTAATCAGAGTGAAGCTGAAGTCTGGATTTAGATGTCTTGAGATCGTCTTATACCATTTTGTCGTTCAAATTACCGCGGTTTTAACACTTCTAATAAATGTCAATAACTTCTAACCAAACTTTTTATTTGTTTATCTTGATTTTTATAGAACAGTGGTGGTCCTGAGACAAGTTTTATTTTTATAAATGGATGCTAATGATGATTAAGGGTTGATGTACTTGCAAATAAGTGCTTTAAATTTACAACCAAAATTGGCATATCAATGTTTAATTACCAAAACAGTGACAAACTCTACTTAGCGTGCTATCAGATGCAAATTTTAATCAACTGGTCCTAATGAAATATGAATAATGAACTAACTGAACTATTTTGTTCAATTATTTTTAAACCTTATAAAAACTACATGGACATTAACATTTATTATTTCTGAAAGAAAATGATATGTTTGTAAATACTATCTAGTTTATAGATAATATCATAATATACCTAGGTATGTCCAAAACGGTAAAATGCAAATTTCCATTTCATTATGTAAAATAATCGAACAATCTAAAATTATTTTGAACTCGATAGTTTCTACATATTTTTGATGAATAAAAAACTAATATTTATTATTTTACTTTAATCGTCATATTTTTTACAAGAGCACCCACATTTCAATTTATAATCATTGAGTTTAATTTCTTCTAACTCCCTCCTAAATCTGGCTCCGGCTAGTTCCTCTTGGGCAGTACGCATTCGAACGTCATGTAGTTCCCTCTGCTGATTGATCATCTCGTTAATTTTTTGCACGCGAAGTGCGCTCTCCTCAGCAAGTTTTTGATTAACAGCTAAATTTCTGCCACTCAAACATTTACCCCTCTTTGCTGCGGAAGTTTGTACTGCGGGGGTCTCTACTAGGGGGGTCTCAAATTCTACCATCCTAGCATCCTTCTCGATTATAAATTCAATTATTTCTATATCTTCCCCTTGCGAAAGCTCTATAGTTTTATTTTGATTTATGTTGCTGTCACGTTCTACATATGCAATATCAGTTTATTAGTTTTTGTTCAAACAAGCGGTTTTGTTTCTGAAAATAGTGACGAATGTTGGTTATACCAGCATTTGTCACACCTTGAACAGGAGTATTTTTGCCATGCTACATATCACAAAAACAGTGGCTGCAACGGCAACATTCAGACAAACATAATATAATGTGTGTACAAACCTTCAAGCGCAGCTGTAGAACTTTCAAAGACAGCTGTAGAATCCCAATCTGACGTTATTTTAACGTCTGCATATGGGGCAGCATCATCTACAATAGCGAGCACAGGATCTTCCACCTTCTTATCTGGTAATCCTCCGCCTGTTGCTAGCATCTCATACCTTAGTTTAGTTGTTTCCTTTCTTTTCCTAGAAGTGAAACATCATATTATCTTATCCATTAGCAACTCGGATCATTTATTTTTATAGTATAATTAGAGCTAAAATTAATTTAAGTCAAACTACTTACTTTTGTTTTAAGTTCGCCCATAACTTTCTTAATTGTTGTGAAGTACGCTTCGACATCACTTCGGGCTGGATGTTATACCGTTTGGTAATTTCTTCCCAAGCACGGTTCTTATTTTGCAGAGTGGTGCCATCAGTTCTCTTATTCTCAATGCATCTTCCTTTATCTTTCACCAAACTAGCCAATATTATCTGTTCTCTTTCAGTAAAAAACTTTTCTCTCCATTTTTCTATAATTATTTATTGTAACTAACAAGTGCAAATATAAATTATTTATTTTAACTTACCTCTAAGTAGTCCTGTTCTTAGCAGATATATTTAATTTGAATTGTTTGCTTGATATGTCGTGTCACAGCGAAAGAAATCAACAAAATAATCATAGACAAATAAATAATTTAACTAACATCGAATGTCAAATGGCGATTTTGACAGACAAACAACAGGTTTGCCACGCCGAGATATCAAAAATTCCTAATAAATCAATGCTTCAAGTTGACTTACCCGAGTTTAACCGAAGTCACAACTATTAAACAGATCGAGTCCTAAGTACGAATCCAGTCTTAAGTCTTGCTTACGTAAGTCAGACTTGGCGTGAACTTGAGCACATGACTATTAATACGGCAATTAGATACCAGCGGATGACCTCGCGAAGGCGGGGTTTTCCGCTAATTTTCCTTCAAAATTACAGCCTAGATTGGCTATCTATGATGTTCCGTCTAACTATCTTCCGACGAACTTTTACAGGCGCTTATCTCTCAAAATTTTTCTAACGAAGAGGATGCGCGACATCTCGAGAATAATGTCAAAATTAATTTAAATTCGGTCCTAGAGACAAGGACTGGGTGCACTGGATTATTGAAGCGTCCCGGACGCTCGTAAGCTGATTCTTGCCCAAACGAGAGTTTACGTCGAGTGGTCCTCCTGTAGAGTGGATGATCACGTTAGGGTCACCAGATGTCACAAGTGTAAGAGACTGGGACATCACTCAAAAGATTGTCGTTCCAATGAAGCCTTCTGCGCTCATTGTGCAGGGTCACATATGTCAGATCAATGTCCGAATAAAGAGCAGCCTCCGAAATGTATCAATTGCACCCGATTCGGGTTTAAAGGCGATTCTGTCACTCATACTGCTTCTTCTAATAAATGTCCGGCATGCATAAGGCGATTGGAGTCATACGCCCAAAATATTAATTACGGAACTTGATCAAGTTTCCAAATTGTCTATTATTCAAATAAATCTTCAAAATTCTAGTACCGCCACTTCCGAGATCCGAGCAGTTGCCGAGTCTCGGGATGTGGACGTTCTTCTTATTCAGGAACCCTATTCTAGGGTATGTCCTAATCAAGCTTATTCTTCAATTCCTGGCTTCGGCCTCAAGTATAAAGTTGGACATATTAAGCATGCGGGTCGAATTCTTTCATCAATTATCATATTAAACTCAGGGCTTGACGCCCTTTTTTTACGCCAATTCTCTAACGAGTTTTATACCACGATCTCCGTCGCTTGTGACAATCTGGAGATATTCTTTATCTATATATGCTCCGCCTGCTGGGGATCTCGACGAGATTCTCGGTGGGCTCGATGAAGTATTAACTGCACTCAGAGGCAGGAAGGTTATCATGGCTAGCGATTTTAATTCTAAAGATCCTGCTTGGTTCTCTAACCGAAG